CATTTTTAGGAAAATCACGTTTTTTATTGAAAGTGCTCCAGAACATAGACCTCCATCTTTCGTGTGATTGAGGCTGCAGTTTTTCGCGTGGTTTCTGCAGAAATATTGAAAAACATTACCTCGTATGTTTTTCATCTTGAGATTCTGAAGCATTACCTCGTAACTCGCTATATTCGTCAATGGAGCCGTGACATGTAGTGTGCTGTTTACAAACTACATTTCTATTCTGAAGGTAGGAAGATTTTCTAATGCTTCATTCTTGTTTTCATCAGTTTGAGTATTTATAATGATATCTTTGAAATAATTCTCCTTCATGGAAAGATTATTCCTGAATGATTATTTGATTTCTCATGTCCAGTTTTTACTCATACCTATTACGAGGTTCTGCATGTTGAAATAATTATTCTACCAGCGGTAGTTACGCGTTTCTGCGCAAAGTGAGTAAATAATAATTATCTTCTTAATGGCATCTGAACGAACGAAAAAAAAATTGTTAGTTGAACAACAATGCAACCTAGATGACTTATTCCCGGACGGAAATTTTTCCTCTCATGTTTTCATATCCAACTCTTTATACGAGATGACAGTACCTCGTAAAAACAATCGAAAAATAGACAGTACCTCGTAAATGACGCAATATGTGTATTGAAAATAGTCGCGGCCACATTCCGAAAAGCAACCTGGTGAATAGTATATCATGTAACATGTGTCAAAATTGTACTTTAGGTATAGACAGCATTTCAAGCACGAGAGCAGCAGAGCGAAGCGAGTTTTCAATAAATGACTGTCTAGAAAAGTTTATAAACGCATTACATACTATACAAGGTCTCACAATTCCAAAAATTGGATCAACCTACCCGCGAACCTAAAAATTAATTCGAAGGAAATGGGGATTGAGAACATGATACTATGAAACTGCATGCAACCAACAAGGCAAGTATGAATGATATTGGTCGGTGATGTGTCCAGCCAGTCCTTAGGGTTCATGAATTTCACTAACCGTTGTGAATATGAAGTTTTCATCTGTCGTAGGAGATAAAAACTCTTCGATTCGCTGAGGTATCAAAATTTTAGATATCTCAGGTGTGTATCCATATTCTAATTGCCTAATTTTTGCTTAAATAAATGTTATGATGTTTTCACATTGTCATGCTTAGCATGAAATAAATTGCCACGAAGATGAGAGCTTCATTTTCACACAGAGTTCTTGGAAATATGCAAGTACCTAAACATTATCTTCGATTTCACTCTCGTCTACGCATTTCGCATACATTTTCAATGAAGGATTCTAATACAAACATAAATTGTTCGAATATTTCTGATTGTCACCGATTGCAAATTGCAACAAAATTCGACAATGACAGTTGACAGCTCCTACAATTGACATGCCGGAGAGGACTCAAATGACTGTAAAGCTATGGTGATAATCTTCTTCACAGGGTGAAGACTTCAACAGGAATAAATTCGCTACCAGGAAGATCAATGATTTTCCTGAAAATTCGTTCGTCGACACGTTAACGTTTAAATGTGATATAAAGCATTTCCACCAGTTTGCGAAAACACTTCGTTTCGAAATGTGCATACGCCAAAAAAATGAATCTTTTGTTTGCGGCTCTATAAAAATAGTGGAATACAATAACAGATAGTAGTCGTGGCATATAATTGCCATCAATAGCCCAACACACACTTTGAGCAATTGTTACGTGGGAAATGAATTCAATTTCGAAATTGAATTTCAATTTCATGTAACCCTCAAACGAAAGAAAACGCCAGAATTTGACTAGTACGCTGGATTTCTCTTACCACCAACTTTCCAAAGAGTGGTCACAAGCGGTAGAGTTGCATTCGAAAATAAATGCTCAGGATGGTTTCAGCTACTCCTGAAGGTATATATTCTCGAATTTGCTTGCAAAAGGTAGGCAAATACATTGAATTGTTGACGTATGTCGGGAAATATAATGAAAAATAGTCACCTCCCTGTTAACGAATTTATTCCAGTTGAAGTCTCCACACTATATATTCACGAATATAACAAAGAATGTTTCAAATTTGAATGTCTACATGATATATCATAGATTGAGAACACTTGGTATCAAATCACCCCACATTGATGTGTCTACCATCTCGAATAACTGAGATACAGGACGTTATCTTGATATTGCCAAAACATTCATTTGGTAATACTTTTTTAACCACTTTGTATTATCCATTCATACTTGATTGAATCATTCCACTAATAAAAACCATTGGAACTGAATGAAGATCAAGATCTGAATACAGGTTCGTCCTGAGAAAAAACAGAGAGCTTTTTTTATTTCGATTAGATTTGTTTTGATATTTGAAAAGAGCGTAATGAAATAACGAATAAACAAACCTAGTTCTCAGAAGCGCGCATCCATAGGAAAAAACTAGTTTTCATAGTTCACCATCATGAGAGTCAAATTAGGTTAATTACTATAGAATAGATTTGGGCATTTGACAGAATTACTTCTAAACATTTTTGAGGGCTCATTCAGTTCTTCACAATTAATTCATAAGCAGCGGTAAAGTGGGTAATTGGTAGCGTTAAGATAATCGTTGGTTGCTTGTATTGTGTTGTCACATTACCATAACCTCAATTTCACACTGGTGATTATGAGCTGTCAACATTTTGATGTTTTTTGCACAGCCTAGTTTACCGCAGCTTATGAATACATAGTGAAGAATAAAATGAGTCCTCGAGAATTTCCAATAGGAATCATTGAAAAGTTGAATATTCTGTGAAACGAAAAATTTTATCGAAAGTTCACCTAATTTGAATCTTATGGTGTTCAACTTGTTGTTACTTTCTTGTCATAAAATTGGAATTTGAATTGGGAGTATTTCAAACATAATAATAAAATATCTGTCCAATTGGATTCGCGCTCGTGAGAAGCAGGTTACTTCATTCATTTTTCCCTTTTTTTCCAAATATCAAAACAAATCTATAAAATGTTGCCATACAGAGTGTTGTTTTTGGAATGAAAGAAGTTTTCAGTATTTCATCAAAACGACCCTAGATTCTGACCTCGATGTTCATCCAGTTTTGATAGCTACTATAAGTGGAATATTTCTACCAAGTATGGATAGATTATACGGAGTGGTTCAAAAATTATGACCAGATGAATATAATGCCGAAATCAAGAGAACGTCCTGTATCATAGTTATGCACTGAGAAAAAAATCGAATAGCGGTTATTAAAAATTGAATAAACTTCATTAAAAAAATGAATTGAACAGTAGACAGCCTAGCTGTCTTATAAAGACTATTCAACTCATTTTGCTATGATGACGCAATAACAGTTACTAGATAATTTAATGAAGCATGGCATGAAGGCTACACCGTGAACGAATTACGGTCATTCATCAATGTGTATTACTTTAATCAAAGAGTATAATCGCTGTTATTATCCGAAACCTATAACAGGCATTAAATCTCTGTATCGAAATAATTAATGACTCTAGTTATTTCAATTTGATAATTGAATATTTTTTTCCAAATAATTTTCCAGAATAGAAAAAATCTATTTAGCACTTTTCATTTTTGGAGCTCTGTCAGTGAGAATTAGATCCACATAAAAATCTTTCGAAATACTGTTGGAAACGAAGTAGTGAAAATAATATGTTGAGAATACACTATTTCTTAATTGAAAGTTCTGCAATGGTTCATTTGAAGTTCTTTAATGGGTGAAAAATAGTGTATTCTCAAAATGTTATTTTCTCTACTTTGTTTCCAAGAGTATTTCGAAAGATTTTTATGTGGATATAATTCGCTACGGTTGATAGTTATGATTCTGAGTAGTGATCGAGTGAGGTTTTGAAAAACTGATGGTTAGAAGTGTGCAAAAACTGGGATTGACCGAGACATTTAGGAGTGATATTTTGATTTGATATGTTAGAGTTATTCAATTTTTAACCACTTATCTTAACGTAAGGCATATTCAATTCTTTTTATTCATTATTAAACTTGTTTTTTCTAAAGTTCAATTTTCTCATTTCCTACCATCTACAGAGTTTAGTTAAGGGCAGTTCTTCTCCAACTTCATGACAGCATTTATATTTTTGTTGCACCAATTTATCTTTGCCTATACGCCAGGTATAGGTGAGATCGATAATCAAATAATTCTTCATCAAATGATTACATAACATAAATAGGAAAAAAGATCTTTTGGTATAAAACCTCTTTATTGGAATGATTGATTTCTCTAAATATGCTTTACGTTAAGATAAGTGGTTGAAAATCAAATAACTCCAACATTTCAAATCAAAATATGACTCCGAAATGTCTCGGTCAATCCCAATTTTTGCACACTTCTAACCATCAGTTTTTCAGAACCTCACTCGATCACAACTCAGAATCATAACTATCAACCGTATTTAACAAAGGAAATGCACGGAGTTTACCGACGGACTAGTCCGACCTAAGTCTGATAACTGACGAGGGGGTGTGAATGTGTCGAAAAAATTCTTGTTTGTATGTACTCGAGGACATTCGGTAACGATCGTCATTAAATCTTCCTATGATGGTAATTCGATAACAAGTAATGGTAATATGATCAAAATTCACTCGTCTGCTTTAATTATCATAGGTTTAGACAATAATTATTGTCATTACAAGAAGTCCAATGAAGTTAATTGAAGTACTTCCAATGAAACGTCTCTAGTTGTGGTCTTGGTGCTATTTTTATACGTAACATGAGTGAATATAATTAGAAATTGAATTATAGTCATTGACTCAGACATACAAGAAAATTTAATGAGTGCCTTTTCCTCAGTGTGAAAGGCGGTAGACGCATCAATTGGAGGTTATTTGGAACCATCAAAGTGTCCTCTATCCGCAGGTATCCTATGTATATTCAAATCTGATACGATATGAAATTTGATTTTCATCAAATGAGAGATGAACGTAGTAATCTTGCAGTCAGATCTCGTACTATAACTTACACATAATTTTCAGTTCGACGCTGTTACTGTCACCGTCACCTTCCACATTCGACGCCACACAAGAGTAATTGCCAGCTTGACTGCGGGTCACACCTTGCAGAGCCAAGGCCGTGGTGCTCATTATAACGCCTGCCTTCTGGTTGGCTTGCATCACTTGACCCTGCAAAAAAGTCGCATTTATCATACGAGCTGTTTCATCTCCAGGTTTTGGAAGTTTGGCGACAGCTGAGGGATAAGATTATGGAAAAGATGTGGAGATGTAGGATGGGAACGATAAGAGTCATCATTTTTTCTAGACCCGAATTGGAGATACAATATACCTAGCTCGTTTGAGAGAAAAATGCTGGACCAGATATTTCCTAAGCAATTCAAATTCCAGACCCTCAAGTGATGTCAAAGTGAAACATCAAATTCAATGAAGGTTGATCATTTATTTCTTGTTGGTAAGGTGCGAACTAATCCTATTTTCAACGCAATGATCATCAATGTCAGTTATAATAATTATTTCAATAAAAGTATAGACTTGAGGGAATATCATGAAGTTTAGAGGTCGAAAGAATTTGTAAAGAATTCAGGATTATCAAGGTTCAAACAGCAGTAATCACATCAATTGGGGCAAAGTAATATCATTTCAAAAAAAGTGTTGTTGAAGAGGTACTGTCAATTTCTCAATTGTGTTTACGAGGTACTGTTTTTTGTATCGAGGTAAGAAACATTTTTGTTCAAGCAGGAGTTATCTAGGTTGCATTTTTGTGCAGCTGAAAATATTGTTTCCTCACGTCCAGATGCCATTTTGGAGATAATTCACATTCTCTTCGAGCAGGAACATGTAACTACCACAAAAAGAATACGTATTTCAATATGCAACGTATAATAATTCAGGGATAATATTTCCATACGAGAACATTATCAGAGATATCATAAATATCATGAATAATACTGCTTCTGATGAATACAAGAATGAAGCATTAGGAAATCTTGCTACCATCAGAACAAAAATTCAGTTTGAAAACAGCACACTTCACGTTACGGCGCCATTGACGAATAGCGAGTTACGAGTTACTGCTCTAGAATCTCAAGTTGAAAAACATACGAGGTGGTGTTTCACATATTTCTGCAGAAATCATTTCAAAAACTGCAGCCTCACTCACCTATTAGATGGAAATATATATTCTGAACCATTTTCAATGGAAAACTTGATTTTCATAATAAAATCATATACGAGGTACAGCGCTTTGACCCTCGATATATGATAACAAAAAATCTCGAAAAATATGAGACAAAATAAATCTTCAGATGAATAATCTTCTAGGAACCACCTCTTGCAATGTTTATAAATGTACTCCATCATTGTTCCTACTACACTGTTGTTCATTTCGAATCCAAATGAATATTCTCTAACAACACATCCCCAAGCCATCAGGTATGTCCCATCCGGGAGTTGGACAGTTCGACCACGGGCCAGGTACCTGTTTTAAGTACACCGATCAGTTGGACCACGACCGCTCTTCGAGCGGATTAAGGTTGTATTCTAAGAATTAAAACAATCACTATTTCCTTAACATATATTACACTACACTGTTTTACCACTGACCAAACCGATTTCTTAACCCCTCGACACGTGTTTCGCTAACTATGTTAGCATCTTCAGGAGAAGATTAAAACGTTTTAATAAGACATAATTTTCACAAAATCTTTTTTTTTTCTGTGTTGCACTTTCAGTTTTTTGATGGAACATTTTACGGAATTCATTTTAATATTTGTTTCTGCTTGAAAGTTTATTAAAATATTCACAAAATTACACAAACTTGGGTGAGAACTATGAAAATTAGAATTAAAATGAGAATGAAATGATTCACACGCGTTTGTGGTCCTGTACATTCTATCTGTATTAGTACAAGCCCACATACTTTATGGAAAATTTCTTTCTTCATCGATATAAGTTTCCACCATATAATCGCAAAATTTCGATAGACTTGGATTACTGGGCATTATTGAATGAATTTCTAGAGAAAAAAAGTTTCCTACTTCATGAGGGTCTAAAAATGGAAGTCCAGGAAATGATTTAAGAAAATTGACTATTTCTGAATTTTTGTTCCGAAATTCTGTGACTAAGCCTGAATTTTGAATTTCACGATACTACGATTGTCATAAATGGAATCTACATCCTATAATTTTTATATTCGGTCACATCATTCAACAAACGTTATGAATTGCCTCTTCAAAATCAACAATGACTGTTTAAGGGTCAAATATCAGATCCAAAGTTTCACATTTTTCATTTAACAGTTGAAAGAATTTCAAATAACTCGAGCCGTTCTTGTTTGGTAATGAGCAAAATGCAACAGGTATATAATAGCCATTTTTAAAAGCATGAACAGTAAATAATTGAAGAAAAATTCAGTTCAAAATTGAAATGTTGATAAAATAAAAGCGCAAAAATAAAAACAGATAAATAAATAAACAGACACATGAATTCAAATGAAGAGTGGTGATAATAATAAAAAGACCAATTCCTTATAAATTAGCTTGGAGGGTCTTTCTGTTAGATCTTATAACGCCTGATGCCTTTTTATAGTATTGCTAACCTGTTGTCTTTTAAGAGTACTATCTTTCATGTGATTATGCTCTAGATGTGTTTCTAAATAGTTATTTCGTCTTGCTCGGTATACATTTCAGAAGAACACTTTCTCTGTTAACACCGCCAGCGAATTTTTCCGCATTTTGCTACATGAGCTTCAGAAAATTTAAAATTATTCAGTAATAATAATTATGTGTGTCCTGTTTCACTAATCATACAATTCAAATCCATTTTTGTTGCAGGTACACTTCTTTAAGAAACTAAATTAACTAGATACTTGAAGGATAATTATGCTTACTAGAACATTTGAACGTTACTGGAAGAATTTTATTAGGTAAATCGATCGGAAAATACAATTTTAACCTGGTCGAACTGCAGGGTAGGCTTAACTTGACCTTTTTCAAAAAAGGATTAATACAGGTACTCGTGGTCCAACTGACCGGTTCCCTCCCATTCATGTCCTGCGGTACAAGGACGCACATTTGACAGATGACCGTAAAACAACCTCACCTTTCATATTTGTTGACGAAGGATTGAAATAGTGTTTCACAAATATTTTGGCATACGAATCATGTTTTCTTGGCCATATCCATCAATAATTCAAGCATGTCATCACATATTGAGCTGTTGTATAATGCACAAAAAATGCAGCGATAGATGAAGAATACGATTTTTCAGATAGATAAATACATTGTGATCTGAAAGTACTGTAGTCTCACAAAGTGTGCATTCAAAATTTTTCAATTTCTCTTCAGAATGCCTCCTTCAATTGGGGCTAATAGAGTGAGAATGTCTACAAGTAACACGACCATGTTTCGTCAGCATGTCAAACCAGTCCTCTCGTTTGATTGAATGTTGCCAAGCTTCTTGCCTTCATTATTATTATTATTACAAATAGTTTCTGTTACAATGAATAAATAATAAGAACAAAATATACAGGTTTTCTGATAATATTCTAACCCCTGATAGAGCCCTTATCATTAGACAAGAAAGAAGATATTGTAAACAGAAGATGTACGGTTTCACTCATAATAATTCTTGAAGTCACCAGGAGAATCAGTGACTAATATGTGAAGTCTAACTACCATGTTCTTGAATATATTTTTGGAATATGATTAGGATAAATCAATTCAAGAAAATAATTGTATTTTTCGTTTGATCGGACGTAAATATTCATATAAAATCATCAATTATCATTTTTTCGTACGTGTCACACTTCCAGTGGCCAGTCTCAGCAACTATCTTGTAATTCTTGAGTCGGTACCACTCACTATAACACAGCACTGATTGGCTGATTGTCTTCCAGAACATGCACTAAATAGAAATGTAGACGAAACAATGGATGATAAATACGTAGATATATAATTTAGATTTGTTTCTAATGATCTGAAGTTTCCATATTTAGGTGAATGCACAACACAAGAATCGAAATCTCACTCAAAACGCTCATTATCCCAACAAGAAAGTTTGAATAATCGAATGGACAGCGCTGTAATAATTTTGTCGTGAATAGTTTTTAATAATGAGGTCAAAATAGCATATTTTGTTGTTGTTTTCACAAATCCCAATATTTTTGATTATCTGTACTGAATGAATTCTATAACTAAGCGATTCAGTTGACCATGTTTTCTCAGTAAAGAATTATTAATCCAACGATATTATGTTCATGAATATTGTTTGTTGATCTTTCAGAGAAATATAGCAATATCAAAACAAAAACAGATCAAAACTGATGTTTTTTTTGTGATAGATAAGTAGTCTTTTTTTTTTCATTTTTCATACCTTGTTGAAGAATCCTATTTTTTCAATGTAGATTGTTCATATACCGGGTGACACAGGTTATCGGGCCACCCCTGTAACTTCTGCATTCGTCAACGGATTTTTCTGAAATTCGGTACAGTTATATAAGCAACTATTTCGGATTTGATCACATTACAATCCAATATGGCGGACTTCCGGTTCTTCTGGAAATGCCAGCAATTTTATTTCTTCAAATGGAACACCCGGTATATTTTTACAAATTCAAGTTCAACAGGTCAAAACAAGTGCAATCTTGATGTCAAATGTCATTTATTCCACAGCCTACCTAGTTGAAAAATTATTCTAACTGCAAGGAAATTCATAAACTAGTTGTTGATTTTTGAATGTGTACAATTTGTTACTGCACCAAAAAACAAAAATGATATGTCATTTTGTTCCTCAATGTATGTTCTAGAGAGACGGGTAGGTGACCCATAGGGGTTCCATTTAACAAAAAATATATTCTATCAAAAAGTGATGTGGCTGAATTGATTCCTGGATAAGTGACACAAGAAATGATTTTTCAGAAAAAATTATGGTTTATTGTTATGTGTGACTCATTGTGAATAGTCTTGACCACATCTCATTTATCCACGAGGTAAAATGAAAAAACAATTTTAATTTAAATTTTTCCGAAAAAATTACATTTGAAATAGAGCACTTGTTTCGACCCGTTGAACTTGAATATGTAAAAATATACAGGGTGTTTCATTCGAAAAAACAAAATTGCTGGCATTTCCAGAAATACCGGAAGTCCGCCATATTGGATTGTAATGTGA